CTGCGGGGGTGTAGGGTTTAGGGTTTAGGGCTTTAGGGGTCTAGGGCTGTCGGGTTTAGATGTTGAGGGTTTCGGGGTTTGGGGGTTTCGGGTTGCCTTTTAAGGGTTGTAGGGTTTAAGGTTTTGAGGTTAGGGTTAAGAGAGTTTAAAGTTGAACTCTACAGCCTCCGATGCCCCAGATACAACCCCGGTGAAAGGCCACAAAGCCCTCATCAAACAAGTCTTCGGCGAAGGGTTTTCGGGTTTCCGGTTCAGAAGATGCAGCGTGGCAACGCCAAGTTCGACCAATGCCCGGCTGTCTTCCTTCACCAGGGCTCTTCAGTTCGTAGTATGGGTTCCTTCAAAGGGATCTATAAGGGTTTCTATAAAGGTATTGTAAGAGACTGTATGGATAGTTCTCGAAATGAGGGTCCCGGTCCCTTTTTGGGCTGTTGCTTTAGGGCTTCAGATCTGCAGTTTTGCGGGTCGCGATTTGGGGGTTCAGAGTTGGCTCTCCTTGCGGCATCCACCCGAATCTGGAACCCTAGACCATCAACCCTAAACCCTAAACTCTAAACCCCTAAACCCCTAAACCCTAAACCCTAAACCCTAAATCCTAAAACCATAAACCCTAAACCCCTAAAGCCGTAAAACCCAAACCCCTACATACCAGGGCTCAACATGGAGAGAAAAGTTCATGCGCAAGAACTGGACTTCAGTTTGGGCTTAAAGTAGAACCAAGCAGAAGCCAGAAAGTTGGAACATAATTGTCCTCACCCCAGACCCTAAATCCTAAATCCTAAACCCCCAAACCCTAGACCCTAAAACCTAAACCCTAAATCCTAAACCGCGCCCTTTAGGGCAGAATATGGGGAACCCCATGACCCCATGTTCCAACTTTCTGTGGTTCTCCTTAGGGCTTCTTGGTTTCAGCACATGGTTCCGGTACCTGCAGAGTTCCACGCACCTTCTGGGTTTGAGGTTTAGGGTTTAGGGTTTAGGGTTTAGGGTTTAGGGTTTAGGGTTTAGGGTTTAGGGTTTAGGGAGCCTACAGGGAAATACGGACTCATATAAGGAAACTCTAATAAGGATCCCGAAAAAGGTAGGTCTTTGTAGGGTCCAGGTACGGTTTACGACTTCTACGCTTCAGGGGTTTTGGATTCAAGCTTCATCTGAGCACCGCTGTCGCTCTGCGTGGAGATTCAGGCTCCGGGTTGCGGGTTTAAGGGTTTAGGGTTTAGGGTTCAGGGTTTAGGGTTTAGGGCTAAAGGTTTAATTAGGGTTTTGGGGTTTTGGGTCTATGGTTTAGGGTTTAGGGTTTGGGGTTCTGGGTCCAGGGTTTAGGGTGAGGGCAAAAAAATACTATCTATATATGCGGACGAACTATACGGAGCTTTTTTTCACGAACACTCAGACCTCTGTATGTTAGGGGGCGTTCAGATCCAACTTCCTCCGGCATTGGGTCCCTCAAACTGGAGACTGAAAGCCCTGGACGTCTCAACCCTAAACCCTAAACCCTCAACCCTAAACCCTCAACCCCAAACCCTCAACCCTGGTATTGAAGCACTGCCGAATCGAGTTTCTCACACGATCCGTAGTAGAATTTGGGAAGCCTACGGCCTAGGGTTCAGGTTCAGGGCTGGGTGCTTAGAAAGCATAGGGTTTAGGAAGTAGGGAGTTGTGGGTTTAGGGTTTAAAGAGTTTAGCTTTTGAATCGGGGTCTTCATATTCTTGGGGCCCGAAGCAATTCCAGACACTAAACCCTAAACACTAAACCCTAAACTTAAACCCTAAACCCTAAACCCTAAAACCCTAAACCCTAAAACCCTAAAGCCTGAGCGGAAAGGTCGTGGCCGTCGTGAACACCACGGGCATAGCCCCGTATGTCAGGTCCTCGAAAGTTTAGGGTTAAGGGTTTAGGGTTTAGGGTTTAGGGTTTTGGGTTTTTGGGTTTTGGGTTTAGACAAAAGGCTGAAAGCCCTAAACACGGCAGCTTTCCAGAGACTTCAAATGCCCTTCATTAAGGAATAAGCCCTGACACGTCTCGAATCAGAATCTGATATGGTGGTTTCCGAAAATAGGGGACCCTAATATAGTACCCTAAATAGTAGAATCCTTCTTATAAGGACCACTAATAACTAATAAAGGTACCCATTATTTTCGGAAACTCCCATATTGGAGTCTCTGGGCAGCTCCAAGGTGCGACATGAGAAAGGGCCGTCAATAATTGGAAACGGTTTTGGGTTTAGGGTTTAGGGTTTAGGGTTTAGGGATTCCGTTTGAAGTTCTTGAAGATGCTTCTGCAGGTTCTACAAGGGCTTATTCTATGGGCCTGCCAGAGGGGTTTTCGGGTATAGGGCCTGAATTTTTTGGATGATAGTTTGAACAGGGCTTTGAAGTACGATGTTGTGCAACACCCTAAACCCTAAACCCTAAACCCTAAACCCCTAAACCCCTAAACCCTAAACCCTAAACCCTAAACTATCTAGGGACTGCAGAGATGACCCGACGCAGAAAATAGCCGAGACACCCAAGCCCGAGTTCTTCTCCCTTCCTGTCTTCCTGAGGTTTAAGGTTTCGGGTTTAGGGTTTGGGTCTAAGATATTTAAAGCCCTTGAAGCCCTAAACCCTAAACCCTAAACCCTAAACCCCCTTCTTTCACTCCTATGTCTCCTCCTTCGGGCGAGGGCTTTCGTGTTTCAGGCTCTCCCTGAAGCCCAAACCCCCGTTTGGAATCCTTTACGCGCTAACGAGCCCTATTAGCTCTCTCAGGTTCCTAATGTTAGGATTTATGGGGTTCCTTAAGTTTTGGGTTTAGGGTTTAGGGTTTAGGGTTTAGGGTTTAGGCTTTGGGCTTTGGAGTTTAGGGTTTAGGAAGTCTAGGAAGTTTTGGAAGTTTAGGGTTTAGGCTCTATGGGTCTAGGGTTTATCGGCCCTGAGGATCTGCGAGTTTCAGGGCTCCCGAAGCCCCTGCTTCCGCACTCCTTGACGGAGACGGTTACGCTCGTCGTGAACACGACGTGAGCCGCCTGCTTGTTTCGCACAACCCAACTGCCTGAGTAACCTGTCTGTATATGGTCTTACTAAGTAGAACTGGGTTTAAGGTTTAGGGTTAACCGAGAAAAAAGAGCTACCCTTAAAACCTTACCCGTAACCCCCGAAGTCACGTTTGATAGGGTTCCGAATCCCGTCCGCTCATCCTGCAACACTGGACCCTGAAGCCTGAAGAATAGGAGTTGGGCTTGAGGTTAGCCGACTTGTCCAGTATCCTACGGGAGGTAAAGGTTCACCTTTGGAGTTTTGTAGGGCTTCTAATGCCCCAAAAAGGTTAGAGGTTACCTACCCTGCTGCCAAGTTAGACGGCCCTTGATTCAATCCCGTCGGTGGCGCAAGCTTCCGAAAAACCCGCGAAGGCTAGTGAAGTTTTCGGGCTTAGGGGTCTGCAGGGGGAAAAACCCTGAACCCTAAGCCCTAATTGAACCCTAGAGCCTGACCTCAATCTCTGCCCTCAACCCTAAAACCTAAACCCTACACCCTAAACCCTTACAGCCATACCCAAAACCCCAAACTGGCAACCGAGCTGAGTGCCAGGATACCCGTGGCCTAGACCCTTGGGGGTGGTGGCTTTGACGTTACAGGCCCAGGGTAGGGGGGTAGGGTGGGTTTAGGCTTTTTTGTAAGGGTTTAGGGTTTAGGGTTCCGGGTTTCGGGACTTCGTTAGAGGCTTAGTGTTTAGGGCTTAGGGTCTAGCGCTTAAGGGTATCGGTCTTAAGCTTGCTGATAGGCCCCATAATAGTTCCTTTTGGGGGCTACCTTATAGGATTCTATACCCCAAAAAGGAAGTACTTTAGGGCTCTGCAGCCACGTGCAAAACCGCGCCTGGTAGGCCGTCACCTGCAGACTGAAAGGCGGAGCTTGCACGTATTCGAGTTTCCACAAGGATCGGGGCTTTTTTTCCGGGGTTCAAGGGTTTAGGGTTTAGGGCTTAGGTTTTTTTTGGTGGGTTTAGGGTTTAGGGGTTTAGGGATTTAGGGTTTAGGGCTTAGGGGTTTAGGGTATAGGGTTTCGGGGTTAGGGTCAGTGACCATAGTAAGGATAGCAAAGCATGTTACGGCATGTACCTGCCAGCTGAACTTCGGTCAAGTACCTGAACAAGGACGCTTTAGACTGCTGTGCGGGGCGAAGGCAAGGGGCCATCGGGGTGGGAACGAGCCTCAAACCAACCCCGAAACACCAAACCTGGCGCTCAACCCTGCAGACCCTAAGCATTTTCAAGTCCTGAACCCTACGGACCCGAAACCCTTCAACTCGTAAAGCCCGAAACCATATAGACCCTAAGCCCAAACCACACCTAAATCTACGCCTGAAAACTCAACGACGAAGCCCGGGCTGGCCAACCCTGAACCCGAACACCCTAAGGCCTAAGAAAGCTCAAAGCCCTAAACCTTAAACCTTAAACCCTTCCCGCTGAACCCCCAACCCTACCCTAAGCTGGGCTAAACCCCTAAACCCTTAAACCCTAAACCTCTAAACCCTAAACCCCTAAACTTTAAACCCTAAACCCCTAGACCCTAAGCCCCGAACCCCTAAGCTGGCCTTGCAGGTCACGGAGAAGGTCTCCTTAGGCATCTCGAGGCCTGGCGCATAGGCCACCTGCCACGGTCCGGGGCCACAGACTATAGGGCTGGTGTTTTGGATTCAGGGTCTAGGGTTGAGACTTTTTGGTTTAGGGCTTAGGGCTTAGAGTTTGGGGCTTAGGGTTTAGGGTTTAGGGGTTTAGGGCTTAGGTCGAAGGTTTAAGCTGCACGGCTTAGGCTTTTCATCCGGCGCTTCAGGTTCTGTAGGGGCTCTGCAAGGGTCTTGGGTGTTGGATTAGTTTTCACCATCGGTTCTACACAATGCTACGAGGGCTCAGTGTTGAGGTTTAATATATTTCACTTGGTAGGTACGGTTGATGATATAAATCCTACGTTAACTCATAATATTTCCTAATTCCCCTAGCTTAGGGTCCTTAAGGTAATGCAGGATGTATATCATCAACAGTAGTATCAAGTCGGAAGTCAGTGGTCAGTGAACAAGGACTTCCGGCGACGATTTTCCTGGGCTTCAGGGCAGTTCCATCCGGGAATCTCCCAGGCAGGCTTGTTCTGCCCTTGCATAGACACGTCGGTCATGGGCCCAAGTTTGTACGTAGAACCCTAAACCCTAAACCCTAAACCCAGCAGCGGCGACTCGGGTTCTCGGCTCCTTCCCCAACGCATCGAAGTCTCCAGCGGCTTCGGGTTTAGGGTTGCGTTGAACGCTTCACGCAGCCCCCAAAACCCAAAAGAGATCCTATTACCTGAAACCTGGAATTCCTAGACAGAAAGAAAACAAATTATAACCCCAAGAAGATCCTATTACCCGAAACCTGGAATTCCTAAAAAATAAAGAAAACAATCCACGTGCGAAGCTCCAGCGCTCCAATCCTCGACCGGTAGAAACCTTGCGGCGAGCGCAGATTTCAGGGTGTCTGGAGTCCACCCAAGAAAAAACCCTAAACCCTGTAAACCCTAAACCCTAAACCCTTTTAGGAGCCCTTGTAGTAACCCCTTATACCCCTTAGAGGCACCTCCCCGGTCGCTCCGTCCATGGTCAGGTTGAACTCCGTCAATGCGCAGTCTTCGTCCACGCCGTAGCGACTGGCAGTTCCTGGGCTCGCCAAGTGCAGGCGCGACGGGTTCGTTAAGGGTCTCGCTATAAGGGCTCTTTGGGTTTAGGGTTTAGGGTTTAGGGTTTAGGGTTTAGGGCTTAGGGAGGGTTTGGGGCTTAGGGCTTGAGGGTCTGGGGTTAAGGGCTTATAGGGTTTGAAGTTTAGGCCTGAGGGGTTTACTTCATAGCTCTCAAAACAGCCCTGCACCCTAGAGCCGAAAGCCCTGCGAACCCAAAGAGCTCCGCTTGAACCCTACAAAACCCCATCAACTTCTAGAGGACCCTCTTCTATACCCTAAACCCTCAACCCTAAACCCTGAAACCTAAACCCTAAGCCCTAAACCCTAAACCCTAAATCCTAAAAAAAACCCTGAACCCTAAACCCTAAACCCTGAAACCTGAACCCTGACCCCTGAAACCTGAACCCCATACTGTCAACATCCTCAAAACTCCCTTGGCTGAGGGGATTTGGCCATCCTCCAGGCTTCTTGGCCTAGCAGGCCCTTGAAGGATTTGGGCGTGTAGGGCTTAGGCCCTAAACCCTAAACCCTACACGCCCAAATCATTCAAGAGGGCTTAGACTTAAGGGTTTAGAGTTAAGGGTTTAGGGTTAAGGGTTTAGGGGTTTAGGGTTTAGGGTTTAGGGGTTTAGGGGTTTAGGGGTTTAGGGTTTAGAGTTTAGGGGCTCTCTCTCGCTTCAACCATGAGCCTGAAACTGGCTAAGGCGTAATCCCAACATAGTCCCGCACCAATACTAGCGATCGAAAGGTTGAATTTTGGGATTCTGCAGGGATGAAAGCAACCCAACACGGTTCAAATTTACTTACTCTACTACTAAACCCTTAATGACTACCATTCAGCAAACCCTAAACCCAAAGCCTTGAGCCCAAACCTCAACCCCACCAGCCCTGAGCCCCCAAAGCTCTGGCTGCTGTTCGAGGTGCTGGGTTTTGGCAACATGGACACCGTCTCACCCACGACGAACCTCAGGAGAGAGGGACAAGAAGCCCTTTTGGTTCAGGGTTGAGGGCTTGGGGTTAGGGGTTTAGGATTGAGGGTTTAGGTGTTTAGGGTTTAGGGTTTACGGTTTGTGGTTTAGGGTTTAGGATTTAGGGTTTAGGTGTTTTGTGGTTCGGGGTTGTGGTGGAGCTCTGGATTTAGAAGCTGTGCGTGGCGCAGCCTGGGTTCTGCGAATGCAAAAGGTATCAGGGTTTTAGGGTATTTAGGGTATTTAGGGTACTTAGGGTATTTAGGGTATTTGGGTTTAGGGTTTAGGGTTTAGGGTTTAGGCTGGGTTCTTCGAATGCAAAGGGACCTTCTACTCTTCAGCAGCACCTCGGGGCTCCGGGTGCTACACACAAAGCTGGCAACCTTACATAGGCCCCAGAAAAGCACACAAGCAAAAATTAGGAGAGGGATATCCCACCTAAACTCCTCAAAATGAAGCCCGATAAATGAGGGATATCCCTATTAAGTGCTTATGCTTATATCCTTTTTGGGGTCCCTAAATCACGCTTTAGCACGTGAGGTAGAGAGCACGGGACAAGCGAATAGAGGCGTAGTGCAATCCCTGGCACACAAGCGACCAGATGAACCCTAGATCCGGAAACCCTACATCATGAAATCCATGTACTTCTAGATGGTTTGGTAGGGTTTAGGGTTTAGGGTTTAGGGTTAGTGTTTCCATGTACTCCAGATGGTTTGGGGTTTTGGGTCAGACTGAGACCACACAAAGCCTGCTTGCGCCTTACACAATGCTTACCGCACACATGCCCTGCAGCGGCTGCAAGCAGTGCAGCTGACGCAATGCTTAAATCCTTCTGAAGCTTCTGCAGCAAGTGAGCTCCGTTGTCTCATACAGAAACGGCGTGGGGCTCACCACACCTGCGTTCGAGGTACTGTAGGGCCATAGAGCTTAGACAGTTCCAAAAGGATTTGCCAAGTTTCCTGTGGAGTTCTATGGCGCTAAAGGCGTGCATGGCGTGTGTTGGGGGGTTCCTCTTTTAGGCGTCCGTTACAAGCTAGCATCTTGCAATTAAAGGAGCATTCGTAAGGCCCCGGCATCACATAGAATCCTTGAAGTATCCACCCTTTCACGGCTTTATACGCGGGCCCCTTTGCAATTTGACGCTTCCATCTCAGGAGCAGAGAACATGGGAAGCAGGTCTCGGTGCTATCTTGCGTTGGTGCTTCAACGCAACACAGGGTTCAGGGTTTAGGGTTTAGAGGGTTTAGGGTTTAGGGTTTAGAGGGTTTAGGGTTTAGGGTTTTCGGTTTCTCCTGTCATTAAGAAGATTAGGCTTTAGGGTTTGGGGTTCAGGGCGTAGGGCCTAGCACTTCAGGTCGTAGCAACGATCATGGGCGTGAAAGTCCTACTAAAGGAGCATCAGAGTGTAGAGGCTGGGCAAAGAGCGCATCGGAGTAGGGAAGGTCTGACAAGGTGTCCACTTACCTGCTGAACAAGAACCGACTACAACAGCCTAGAATATGCCATGATATACGACAAGCGACTCTCACTGACCACAGTATCGACAAAGATTCCTGACCCAGGTGGAAATGTCAGGCCAGCCCAAAACAAAGCTTCCCGACTCCGAAGAAATCTAGCAACAAATAGTGCCCAAAAGTAACTGAATGAAGGATCCTACGGCACAAGATATGGGCAGTTTCCAGAGTAGGATCCCTTTAGGGTCCTTTTCATACGGGTGACGTACTATATTGGGGACCTAGCGTAACTAAAGAACTACCCACATATTCTTAAGTTGAAGGGTTCGTGAGCCCCTGATTTGAGCCATGACTCTCCTCAGCTTCGCGGCGTCCTCAAGTTATGAAGCGCTTCAAAACCCCAGAAGAAAAATCCGGCAATACTTAAAATCGCTGAAGCCCCCCCAAACCTTCAGCCCTAAGCCGAAAACTCTGGAGCCACGCAACCCCACAGAAACCCTAAGACCTCAAACTGCACTCTCTGAACTTGCTGAAGTCGGAGGCGTCTCCTGAAGCCCCATGAACTCTGGGGCCAAAACCCTCAACCCCAAACCCTAAAACCCTTAACCTTAAGAACCCTAAACCCCCCCCCAAACCATGAGGGTTTAGGGTTTCAGGTTTTTGGGCATAAAGCTCGAAAGCCCAGGCCCTCCAAACCCCAAGATCCTGAAGCAAAAAACCGCCTCGAGCCCAGCAGCCCGAAAGAACAAAACCCGAAACCACAAAACCACAAAACCACAAACCCCTAAAATCTAAAAAACAACCTGAAAACTACCCGAAACAAAAGAAACAATAAAAACCCTAAACCCCCCCCCCACCCACCCACCATCGCCTCCTCCGCACTTGCAGCAGGCCTCGTTGCTGCTGAGGCCGTGGAACTTCAAATCCGAGCAATCGCCGGAGCTCAGCTGCTGGCAGTTCCTTCAAAGGAGGGGCTCAATAGGGGTTAGGGTTTAGGGTTTAGGGTTTAGGGTTTAGGGTTTAGGGTTTAGGGTTTAGGGGCTCTAGGGGTTTAGGGTTTTGGGTTGAGGCTTCTCTTTTTAAGGGCTTAACTGGGGATGTTAGGCTTTTTTGAAGGAGTTTAATGTTTGGGGCTTAGGAATTTAGGGTTTCGGGTTTAGGGTTTAAGGATTTTTCAAAAGCCATACCGTGAATCGACTGTACGTCAACTTGAAAACACGGCGTGGGCGCAGCAAAAAGAGGTTTACCCTCTACGCTGTAGAATTGTCGTTGCAAACTTACGTTATAGATGAGATTATCCTGTGCCGGGGTTTCTTCATATGATATTCTTCCCAGCATCTCTTTCCATACAATTTTTTGTGTGGTGTATCCAAGTCTGCCGGTGCTTCCCAACTCGCTTCTTGCCATAATCAATTCTAGTGGCATTGCTGAGCATAAACGATACCTGTTTTTGAAAGATCTGAATTTGCACAACGAAGTACATGACCTAATAGCTTAGCGTCTTATATTGTTGTCGGTCGTCTCGACTTGGAAATGCGATCATACTTGCTTCTTCCAGAAACTTTGCGTTGATATTTGTACGATCTATAGGTGCGAGCTTTGTTTAAAATCTTGCAATTGCCCCTCGTTTAAAGCGCACTTAGCTTCTTTGCCATAGCAGTGGTTAAGTGGATGGTTTCTAGTCCCTAAACCCCCTAAACCCTAAACCCAAAACCCTAAACCCTAAACCCTAAACCCTAAACCGTTAGACTTTGCGACGGAGAATGGAAGGTTTAGAGCTTAAGGGCTTCTTCTGGCTCATCCTTCGGGCTCAGGGTGTCGGGTTTAGGGCTTTAGGGTTTAGGGCTTCGGGTTTAGGGCTTTAGGGCTTTAGGGTCTTCGTGTTTGGGGTTTAGGGTTTAGGGTTCAGGGATTAAGGTTTCGGACTTCCTTGAGGCTTCGGTTAAGGTTTCCTTCAAAAGGGCTTCAGGGTTTTGGGGTTTAGGGCTTCAGCCCATGGAGATGAAAACCTGCAAAATACTAGATCCGCTATAGATTTGCTCTAATGTAGCGCAGCGGAACCGCTCTGAAAGTTGAACTAATCAGCTACCTGAACCCAAACCCTGTAAAGCCGTCAGAAGAACAACCCTCATTGACTCATAGTACCCCTTGTCCACCCCGCCTATAGCCACGAAGACGGAAAACTGCCAAACCCTAAACCCTAAACCCTAAACCCTAAACCCTAAGCCCTAAACCCTAAACCCTAAACCCTAAACCCTACGCCGCCCAGATGGCACCTCCCGTCGGAGCCCACCCAGCCCGCCGAATCCAAACAGGCGACGCAGCTCTTCTCCGAGCTGGAGCCCTGCCAGGTCGGGTTTAGGGTGTAGGGTTTAGGGTGTAGGGGTTTAGGGGTTTAGGGGTTTAGGGTTTAGGGTTTAGGGTTTAGGGTTTAGGGGTTTAGGGTTTAGGCTTTAGTGTTTTGGATTTGGGGTGTAGGGTTCAGGGCTTAGTGTTTAGGATTTTGGGCATAGGGTTTGGGGGTTAGGGTTTGAAATGCTGTAGACCCCGAATCAGTGAACCCCCTGCCATAAAAGGGAATGTCATTGGGATAATGATTAGGGCCCTGCTTTATTCTTAGTACCCTCAGAATTACAGCCAAAATGAACACTCGCCAACAGTCCAACAACCCTCAACAAAGCCCTAACATCAACCCCATTCAGTATGTAGCATTCAGGGCTTGGGGCTCGAAGGGTTTAGGTTCTACGGGTTCAGCTCGAGGTTTAGGGCCCCTAAACCTTAAACCCTAAACCGTGTTTGGGGCTTGGCATCTGCATCTAAACCACATTTCAGGGTCTTCGCTGTTCGGAACTGGTGGCTTCAGGGTTGATGCGGCAAAACCCGAACCTGGGTCCCAGTTGAACCCCTGAAGTTAAGTTACTAATTCGCTATAAACTCCTCCTTATCACAGCAGAAACTCCAAACAAACCCTCAACAAATGCTGTAGAAACTCCAGAAACCCTAAGTATCCCTAAACCCGAAGGCCAAAGCCCCATCAGATCGAGGATCTGGGCCTGGGCTTGAGGACAGTGCAAACTCGAGCAAATAGAACTGTGGGCTTCACCCTAAACCCTAAACCCTAAACCCTAAACCCAGCCTGTTGTTTGTGTTGATAGGGTGTATCGTTTAGGCTCTTGTGGCTGCTGGCGGGAAGCTAAATCCTGAATTCTGAGACTACTTCTTGGCGCCCTCTGTCCAAGAGAACATCTTGAAGCCTTCACGGAACCCTTAAAGGAACTCTCAAGAGAGGAGAGTCCCTGATCTGCAAGTCAGTGTAAAGCCCAAGCCTCACAGATCAAGAAAAAAACACGTATCATATCGGATGATTGAATTCCCAAGCTGGCTACACCCAAAGAGCTATCCCCAGTCCTAGGACTGAACAACGGAGCGGAGCAATCACTCTGCCTGCACGCGCGGTACAAAGCCACCGGCGCACCTCGGACATGTTTATTGCCAGCACAATACCAGAGGGTAGATAAAGACCGCAATGAGGATGCTAATGCGAATGGCTTGTTGCACATCTAACCTGCAAACCCTAAGCCCCAAACCCTAAACCCTACATCCTAAACCATAAATCTCTAAACCCTAAACCCTACACCGTATACCCTAAACCCTTAACCCCTGACCCTACACGTTAAGCTCGGAGTTTATGGTTTGGAGCCTGCGAACTTGGGCCTCCGGCAGTCTCAGGGCTTGCTTAACGGTTTAGGGTTTAGGGTTTAGGGTTTAAGGTTTAGGCTTTAGGGCTTTGGGTTTAAGGTGTAGAGTTTAGGGTTTAGGGTTTAAGGTGTAGGGTTTAGGGTTTAAGGTGTAGGGTTTAGGGTTTGGGGTTTCAGGGCCTGCTTAAAGGATTGGGGGACGTCCTTTCAGGCTTCTCCGACTCGCGACTCTACGTGTAGCCTTTTAGGCTTCGGGGTGAAGCCCTACACCCTAAACCCTAAACCCTACACCCTAAACCCCCCCCCTCCTCAACCCTTGAGGCTTCCGGGTTCCGGCATGCCTCCGTCTCACAGGTTATAACTGATCGACAATAAATACATAATTAAGATATCATGCATCACACATATATATATATATGCTACACCCCCCTCCAGGACCTACCTCGAAGCCTCTT